GGGGGTGGGGGGAGAGAAGAGAGAGAGAGAGAAGGAGAGGGAGGGCTAGGGATGTAGCACTCAGCATTAGAATGCTTGCCTTGCCTGTATCAGGCCCTGGGTTAAACTTCCAGTGTAGTCCAGTATAGTACTGCCAAAAAGACGCAGTGCCTGCCATTTAGTCACCTGTCCTATCCTTGGCGCACACTCCCTAGGTTCCTCTGCCTAGATACCGCCCGCACCGCCTTATTTCTTTGGACATTTTGCTGCTTGGACCGTGTCACTGGACATTCTGTTATCAGTGCTCATCACACATACGCGCCTGCCTTCTCAGAAGACAATCATCGTCTACTTTTTTCTTTTGCTGTGCAAGGGATCGAACCCAGGGACCTCGGGCACGGTGGGCAGTCTTTTTTATTTTATTTTGTTTTGAATTCAAAATAATTTTGATTTGGTGTTCCAAGTCTACATTCCTGCAAACCTGGCTTCCGCTCTGCCCTCTGCTGGTGGGCCAGCGCCTAGCGGGAAAACCAATGAACTATTCTAAGGATTTCCGGAAATTGGAGGCTGGTGACACAGCGTCATTTACATACCCACAATGCATTGCACACGGGCCATTTCTTAAAACGGACAGATCCTTCATTTCTCTTTTCTCCTTTTTCTCCCCTAATAATGAAATTGCGTTCACAAAGTTGTCTTATGGTAAAGTAAAAGTATCAACTCGTTTGGATAAAGAGTTACCATTGGTGGTGTAGTAGTTAAAGTTACTCTGGAGGTGTATCCTACAAATACAATTTCATACTCTGGTTTCTCTTCAGATCGTATAAATCTTTCGCCTTTTACTAAAGATTTCCGTGGAGAGGAACAATTCTGAGTCTAAACCCAATTTTTTGAGGCCTTGTTTTTTTTTTAGCAGGGCTAATAAAGTTGTATAACAAAAGGTAAAGCAAGAGCTTTACGTTGTTAGTATTGGTTGTGTTTTTTTGTTGTTGTTGTTGTTCTATGTTTTGAAAAGAATGTTGGGCTAACGGTTTAGTTCTGGATTCGTTGCTTATCTGTGTAAAATCCGATTTCACATTTTTTAGTACTGAAAAATAAAAACACAAGTGTGTGTAGTTGTGGAAGTAATATTGCAAGTCTTGTTCATGAGCTGTGGCTGTGGGTCAATAAAAGATTGTGAGTCAGTAGAAAAACGAAGCTGAAAGCTCAGAATATTAACGCCAGAGTTGGGGTGGTAAAACACCACCCCCCCCGTACATGTTTACTATGTAAACCTGTATTACACGTTTATTAAAAAGCATTAAGCAGGTGTGGTGGTGCACTTTACAGGAGCCTGTGAACATTGTTTAAGGAGAGATTGCCTCAGAAATTCGGGGGATGAAGATGTAGGTGAGTGCTCAACTCTCAGTAGCATCAAACCCGTTCTAAAACAAAATGAACCAAAAAAATTAAGTGTAGTTGGTTACTACATATACGTGCTTAATTTCTGTGGTACTGGGGTTAGAACCCAAGATCTCATGCATGCCAGGTAGTCTTTTTATCACCGAGCTACCTCCTAGCGGGATACTTTTTTAAAATAGGCAACCCATTTAGCTGGACAGGAAATATTACACTTTAGTAACTTTTCTACTTTGCCAGCCGAGGAAAGGTGAGGATCATGTTTGGCGAGAGCATTGGGTTGCTGTAGGCCAAAGATATCAGCGCTCGTGACGCTCTCTTGCGGCAGCCTGGAGAATTACTGCCATTTGACTTCATTTCTTTCCTCTGACTTGAGCAATTTCCTCAAACGGCTCTTTCTGTTACGCATACCAGGTATAGTCCTACGTGTTTGCTCTAGTGGGGTAAACGTTACTGTCAGGTGGAGAGACAGAATAAGTAAAGATAATTAACAGGATAATGCTATGAAAATATAGCGGAGCAGGGAGGGCATGAATATAGACTGGTAGTGTCTACTGCAATAATAAGAAAAAAAATGTAGCTTTGCCTGTAATCCCAAATTCTAGCCCAGGCTGGGTAATTTAGCGACTGAGGTCCTGTCTCAAAAATTTAAAAGGGCGGGCTGGAGATTTTAGCTCAGTGGCACCGCGCCTGCCTGGCAAGTGAAAGGTTCTGAGTTCAATCCCTGGTACCAAAAAAAAAAAAAAAAAAAAAGATAGGGTCTGGCTATGTAGTCCAGGCTGGCCTTGAACTCTCCCGATCCTCCTGCCTCAGCCTCCCCAGTGCTGGGATTACAGGCGTGTGCCACCACGCCCAGCTCAGGACCTGGTTTTAAAATTGATGAACACGGACGCACCTCAATCCAACCTCATAGCTCTCTTTTGATCTCTCTTCCTCCTTCACACAGCGCACAGCACAGACAGATAGCAAGCAAGACTGTTTATTGGACTCTTTCCCATAATTGCTCTCCTTCTGCCCCACTGCAGGCCTAACCCCCAGCCTTCCACTGGGGCTGGGTAGAATAGCCTCGGGCTCGACCCCAGGCTTTCCTGTCACACAGCCTTGGGCTTCCCGAAGCTCTGTTACTCCTTTGATTCTGCACCATCCTTCTGGAAGTCTGTGACATAGGCCATCTGACTGGGATCCCCAGGGCCGCAAAAAAAGTTCAAGTTGCCACTGGAGATGTCATAGAGGTCTAATGCTGCGGCAGGAAGGCAAAGAGCATGAGCTGGGGTGCTGGGCCTGCCAGGTCCAGGTCCCGGCCTCCCTGCTCACCTTGGACAACATTGACCTGGTTGACCACCAGGATGTCCGCCTGAATGCTGTCTATTTCCATGTACAAGTCTTCACCATGGCTCTGAGGAGAGGAGTGAGGGAAGCCAGCTGCGGTTCCAGGTCAGGCCTACCTTAGGTTGGACTTGGGCACAGGGGTCCTGCAGGAGGGGAATCAGGGAGGGGAGCGGGAGTCTGGGAGTGGAGAAGCCCAAGTGAAGACAGCCCCTCCTACATGGGTGGCCAGGACCATTCTATGTGTGGGGGCAGTGTGGAGATACAATTTATGTCCCAGGCAGGGTGTGGGCACTTACAAGGAAGAGCTGGTACAGTTCCTCCCCCATGGACCTTCGCACGTGCTCCTCCACCACTGGGAACGTCTGCACGAAGAACTGACCCACGAGCAGGCAGGGCAGTGTGACCGTGAGCGTGGCCATAACTGCTTGGCTGCATCCCCGCAGCCCCGCCAGGACCCGGGTACCTGCAGTGTGAGGCTGGCCAGCCGCTGGCTGTTGGTGTGGTCCGTGTTGCCCATGGCGGCCATCAGGCTGCGCACCACGTGCAGGTGCAGCATCTCCTGGGCGATGCTCATGCTGCCGCGCGCCAGGACCCTGTGTGGGGACACCAGGCAGCAGCCACCGTCATCTCTCCGGTGCCTTCTCCTCCCTCGCCTGCCCAGCCATGAGTTCATGCCCCCATCGCTTACCCAATAGCTTTGGCGGCCGCTGCCTGCTGCAGGAACACGGGCAGGTGGACGGTGAGCTGCAGGAGTGGGGACTCTGGGGAGCAGTGGCTGAGAGTGAGGCAGGAGCCCCCACCCCCAACAGGAAGCCCCCAGGGAGGGTCCTACCAGTCAGGATCTTGGCGTGCTGTTGGGAGGCATCCTTCACTGATGGGATCAGCAGTGCCACCAGGCCCTTGAGCAGTGGCAAGCGCACATCATAGTCCACCAGGACCTTTATGAGCTCAATGGCTGGAGAAGGGCAGAGACCCCAACAAGCTGGAGGCTACACCCTCGCCCAAGGGGGCAAAGAGCCTCCTGAACCTTGCCACTTCCCTGTATTCTGTCCCTCCCTCGGTCCTTCCTAGTGCCTTTGAGCCCCGCACTGTGCAAGGCATGGGGGAGCTGGGGAAGGTAACACCCCGTTCCTGCCCTCTTGGAGTTTGTGGTTAAAGAGGAGGTGGAGAGCTGAGGGTGTAATCCCAGCACTCTGGGGGTCTGAGGGAGGAGGGCTGCAAGTTCCACTCTAGCCTAGGCAACTGTGTGACTTAGGGAGACCCTGTCTCCCAATAAAAACTAAGAAAGGGCTGGGGGTGTAGCTCTGAGTGAAGGCCTTGGGTTCAATCCCCAGTACTGCAAAAATGGGGGGTGGGTGGGTGAGATTAGAGGCTCTATGGTTCACAGAGTCAGCCCAAGGGAGAGGAGAAAGTGTTGGATGGGAGCCCATTCAGCAAGAAGTCCTGGAAGAGGTCAGAGCTGGAGACTGAGGCCGCACAGGTATGGGCTGCTTTCAGCTTGGGGGAATTCAAGTTTCATGGAAGAGGGAAGGAAAATGTGTGTTGTTGTTGTTGTTGTTGTTTTCTTCAGCATCTCCTTATGTTGCCCAGGCTGGGCTTGAATATGAGCAGGTGCCATTGTGGACAGTTGGGCTGGGTCTTTTAAAGAGGAACAGGATGAGAAAGGGGGTCGGGGAGCAAGTGGGTCTGGGGGAATGGCAGCAAATGATAACGAGGAAACAAGGTAGAGGCTTGTGTACTGTTCACAAGGAGCCCTTCGCTGCTCACTGGCAGGTGCTAGGGCTTTCACACAGTACCCCACTGCACTGTACCATCTGCATTTAACATATGACTATGATCCCCATTTTTGCATTTGAAGAAAGGAGGAGCAGAGAAGTTAAGTATTTTGCCTAAGTCACAGCTAGGAAGCAGGGGACGCAGAAGGAGGGAAAGATTTGGTCCAGCGGGCAAGGATGGAATTTACTGAGGGGTGCATCCCAAAGGACTTTCCTGCAGAGACCTTCCAGACACTTGTTCATTCTGTCATTCACTCAGTGTTTTGCAAGCCTGGATTTGAGCACCAGGTGCTGCACTGGGTGTTGGGGATACCAGGGTGAATTCATTCATTCAATCAACTATCCTGGAGCATGCAGATGAGCAGTGACAACATGGTGACAAGTGCTATAAAAGAGGTCCAGTGGAGGGGCTGTGGAAGCATCTGGGAAGATGGGGGAAGACTGAATATTTTTGTAAGGAGGAGAAAGAAAGCAGAGAAAGGCAGAGCTAGAAGGGGCAGGGAGAGATGGCAAAGCCTTGCTTGGTTCAGCAGCATAAATGTGACTCAACCTAAGTGCTTGCTGCATGGATGATGGCAAGACTTGGAGATATGCTGCCCTGCTCAGGAGTCAAGTGCAGCATGTATCTCCCTGTCTTTTTGGAGGAGACAGGATTTAGGGAAAGCTCTTGGCTCACTGCATCCCAGGGTGCAATGTAGAAACATCAGCGTTATTACCAGCATTATTACCAGCATTATGTCTGGATAACAGTAATTAATCTTCTACTTCCTTGTCAGGGGACTTTATCCACTAAAAGCATATTTGGGACAGTTATCTACAATGGCATAGTGCCTGCTTGAGCAGCATGTATACAGTGGAAGAAAAGCTTTCACAGGCAGATGCAAAGGCACCTCAAGTGTTGGTGGACTAGCTAGGATCTGGCAAGACAGGCACGATGACAATTTGAGGCCAGCTTGGGCTACATAATGAGTGCAAGTCTGAGCTACATAGTCATAGTGAGACCCTGTCTCAAAAAAACAGAACAAAACAAAAAAACTCGTTGAAAAGGGGCAATTTTGTGAGTTGGTAAATTGTTACGATTTAGATCTAGAATGTCTCCCAAAAGTCTCATGTGTTTGGAGGTGGGGCTTCTGGAAGGTGAGTGGATCATGAGGGGACTATACTCAGTGATTGATCCATTGATGAGCTCATAGCTAAATGTGCTTTTAGGAGGTGGGGCCTGATTGGAAGAGGTGGATCACAGGAGGCCTGACCCAGAAGGGTATCTCTCCCTGTCACCTCTCTTTATCTCTGCTTCCTGGCTGCCATGAGGTGAGCAGCTTTCCTCTGCCGTGCCCTTCCACCATGCTGTTTCTGCTTTGGAGACAGCCAAATATGGACTGAATCCCCCAAAACCATGAGCCAAAAACTTGTTCTGCTACTGTTTGATTATGAGATGCAGTCTTCCCTCTTCTTGAATTAGTGCAGCTCATGTTTTGGATCTGAGTGGTTTGGCTTCTCCTTGTATCTGGCTACACTTGGCACTGTCAGCTGCAGGACATCACTCACTAGTTGCTGGGCTCTTTCCTATCACAAGCTGGCAGCTCCTGTGTGTGCAGGCAGCAAGAAAAAGTCTGCCTGTCCCTAGGAGAGATCTTCCTGTTCCAAGAAATGAATTGGTGAATACTCTAGGTAGAAATGTAAAGATGAAGATTTTTTATGGAATTTTCCTGATCATAAATAGCATTTCCTATCCCTGTAAAACCAAGTGTTCTAGGAGACAAATATCTGCTCTGCCTACTCATTAATTATGCTTGCAACATTTGTAGCTCCTTAGAAAAAAAATGAAGATTTATTCACTGAATCATTTCTGATTGAGTTTTAAAATTCACAGCTGTTAGTGTTTATGCCCAAAGCAAAAGTTCTAGTCTCTGCCCAAATGCTCCGCAACAACTACAGCCAGTTACAGCACTTCACACACTATGCAAGTTGCTAAGCATAGCAGATTCATTCGGAAAGCAAGGAATGAGAGACTTGTCTTTGGCAGGTGTGTTCAAAGCCTATGTGCTGACAATGCCCAGCTCTCCTAAAGTGAAGCCATCTCTGATGTATTCATTGGTCCACCCATTTATCCAGTGATATATTAACTGAGCATCCTTTCTGTGCCAGGTCCTTGTGCTAGGGCTAAGATACAATCCCTGCCCCAGGCATATCACAGCCCGACACCAATAAGGACACTGGCTTTCATGATACAATATTGTAAGAGGTATGGGAATACAAGGAAGCCAGGCAGATTGATGGGGTGGAGGGAGGGAGAGAACCAGGAGGTTTCCTTAGAGAAGGTGACATTTAAATTGACAAAACCTAGGGGCTGGAATGTGATAAGTGCCATGCTGGATCGTGCCATGTCACATTTGTAGCCCTGCAAGCAAGGGAGGTCTGCCTCGAAGTTAAGTGTTGGGTCACAAAGTGAGAGAACTAGGCCTTTGGAGATAAGCTAGCCCCAGCCACAACTACATAACAGGAATTTTCTCATTTTTCATTTTAGAGGACACTAAGATTGAAAAAGGTTGAGTAGCTGGCTCAAGATCAAAGAGCTAGTAGGAAGGACTCTGAGTCTGGGTTGTGGCTCAGACGTAGAGTGCTTGCCTCCAAGGCAAAAGGTCCTAGGTTTGATCCCCAGCCCTGGAAAAATAAAAAATGAAGACTCTGATTCCACAGGCCATTTTCTGTACCACCAAGCTCTAATGCCTCCATCCCAGTGGTGGCCTAGGAAAATAGACTGTGGGGCACCATCCTGGAGAGATGGAGCTTAGTTTAGAGGCCAGTGCAGGTGAAAAATATGGAGACCTAAATTACAGCCTTGGGAACTGAATGGATGGGAAGGTCCAGATTGGGATGCTATTGAGGACTTGGGTTGACTAATACTATGGTGTAAATGTGGTCTGTCCCCACCAAAACCCATGCAGAGCTCAGCTTCTCAATGCAGCTGTACTGAAATGTGGTGGGGTCTGTGGGAGGGGTGGTAGGAAGTGACTGGGTCATCACAGGATTAATGCTGGCCTCATGGAGTGGGTTGGGCCTCGAAGGAGCACATTATTTCCCACAAGAGGAGGCTGCTCTAAAAGAGCCGTCTACCCCTTCCCTACTCTTGTTTTCTATCTCACCAAGTGTTACTCATCTCTAACAACTGCTTCTGCCATGTGATGTTATCTACTATGATGCTCTCACTGGAACCTGATGCTAGTGCCATGCTTTTGGACCTCTAAAACTAGCTGTTAAATAAATCTCACTTCTGCATAAAGTACCCAGCTTCTTTGGAGCTAGAATTTCAGGAATCCACTTCTGCACATGTCTGGTGACATCCAAAGGGAGACACTCAAAGGGCAGTGGTAATGCAGGTCTGGAGTTCAGGAGAGTAGAGAAGTCACTCAATCACTGTCCTTCATCCACAAAATCAGAATAATAATGTTGCTTAGTTGTTGGTTTGTTGTGAGGATTAAATGAGTAAAGAGCAAGAGAAAGTTGGGTGTGGTAGTATAAGCCTGTAATCCTGGCACTCAGGGAGGCTGAAGCAGGAGGATCAAGAGCCTGGGCAATTTAAGTGATTTAATAAGAACCTGTCTCAGAATAAAAAATACATGCTGGGTGTGGTGGTGCATGCCTGTAATCCCAGCACTTTGGAGGCTGAGGCAGGATGATTGCCTTGAGTTTGAGGCCAGCCTGGGCTACATAATGAGTACAAAACCAGCCTGAACTACATAGTGAGACCCTGTCTCAAGAAACCAAAAATCAAACCAAACCAAAACAAAAAAAGGCTGGGTGTATAATTCAGTGTGAAGGCCCTGGATTTAATCCCTAGTAACACACACACACACACACACACACACACACACAAAAGAAAAAGAAAGAGCAGTACCTATCATATAGCACACACTTTATAAAGGCTGGCATTATTATTTCTGTCATTCTTGGTGTTGATTAAAACTGTGGGTGTAGATAAGGTACCAAAGACAGGAAAGAGATGAGAAGGGGCAGGGATTGAATACAGAGAGAGAGAGAGAGAGAGAGAGAGAGAGTGAGGTGGCACCGAGAGAGAGGGGAAGGGATTGGTGGAGGGATACTATATTAGTCAGCTTTCCTGTTGCTGGGTCACAAAACCCAACACCTAAAACCTGGAGGAGGAGAGGTTTAACTCGGC